CTACTGATTCTACAGAAATATGAAGGATTTTAAGAAAGTACTATTAACTGTTCTGTCTTAGAAAACTTAAGAACTAGATAAAATGGACAAATTCCCAGAAGAATAAAACTTACCAAGACTAACTCAAAGAAATTTAAGCATATTGAATGACTAATAAAAATCTCTCAATAAAAAAGAGCCCTGGGGGCGCCTGGGTGGCTCAGATGGTTAAGCGTCTGCCTTCGGCTCAGGTCATGATCCCAGGGTCCTGGAATCGAGTCCCGCATCAGGCTCCCTGCTCCTTGGGAGCCTGCTTCTCTCTCTCTCTCTGTCTGTCTCTCATGAATAAATAAATAAAATCTTTAAAAAAAAAAAAAAGAGCCCTGGAATTGCTGGCTACTCTACTAAATTCTAGCATATAGTTAAGGACCAATAGCAATCCTTCCCAAACTTTCCCCTAACACTGTAGTACAGGAAACACTTCCTACCTCATTCTGTGAATCCAGCATAACCTGACACCAAAGCCAGACAGAGACACTACAAGGAACAAAAACTATACATCAGGGTGCCTTCTGAACAGTGGGACAGAATCCTCCACAAAAGATTAGCAGCACAGTAAAAGGATTCTATACCAGGACCATGTGGGACATAGTCCTGTGACACAAGAGTGATCCAAAATACGAAAATCGATCTGTAATATGCACAACAACACAACGAGGAAAAAACCCACATGATCATCTCAACTGATGTAGAAAAAGCATCTGACAAAATGCAACACACCCTTTCATGATAAACACTCAACAGGAATAGAAGGAAACTGCCACATATGAAAAACCCACAGCAAACATCACACTCAGTGAAACACTGAAAGTTTTTCCTCTAAAATCAGGAACAAGGCAAGAATGCACCCACTTTTACCACTTGTACTGAGCAGAGTACAGGAAGTTCTAGCCACGGCAACCAGGCAAAAAAATAAAAGAGATCCATACTTGAATAAACTTACCTGTTTGCATATGGTTTGATCTTTAGAGTTTTCTACACCTAAGACTCCAGAACAAAGCTCTTTAGAACAAATGAATACCGCAATGTAGCAGGACGCAAAGTCATAAAATCAGCTGCATTTCTAATAGGAACAATGAACAATCTCAAAAGGAAACGATGAAAACAACTCTGTTTAAAATCGCTCAAAGAATACGTAGGAATTAACTTAACCAAGGAGGGAAAGCCTGCACAACAAACACTACCTAATACCGCTGAAAGGAATTCAAGACATGAACAAATGGAAACCCACCCCGTGTTTGTGGATTGGAGGACATCATACTGTTAAAATGTCAGCAGGACCCAACGCCATCTACAGATTCAGTGCCATCCCTACCAAAATCTCAAACTTTTTCAGATATAGAAAACCCATCCTAAAATTCATGTGGAATCTCAATGGACCCCAAACAGCCAAAATCAACCTGAAGACAAGAAGGAGAAACTGGAGGACTCACACTTCCTCATTTCAAACCTACTACAAAAGCTACAGTAACCAAACCACGTGGTACTGGCATAAAAACAGACAGACGGACGAGGGGAGGTGAACAGAAAGCCCAGAAAGAAACCCTCACACAGTGAAAGGACTTTTGACGAGGATGCCAAGACCTCTCGATGGGGAGCCGACAGTCTTTTCAACAGAATGGGCTGGGGACACTGCATCTCCACATGCAAAGGAGGAGGCTGGACCCCTACCTAACAGCACACACACACATTAACTCAAAATGGATCAAAGACCTCAATGTAAGGCCTAACACGATAAAACTCTGGAAGAAAACGTAGGACAAAAGCTTCGCGACACTGGATTTGGCAATGATTTCTTGGATGTGACCAAAGGCACAGGCAACAAAAGAAAAAATGAAGTGGACTTCATAAAAATTCTAAAAGGCTGTACATCAGGAGACACTGTCTACAGAGTAGACTAAGAAAAATATCTGTAAATCATACATCTGGTTAAGAATTAACATCCAGAATATATACAAAACTTCTGATACTAACAACCTGACTCAAAAACGGGCAAAGAAGTTGAAGAGACACATCCCCAAATATACAAGAATAAGCACATGCGAAGACACTCGATGTCACTGAGCACCAGGGAAACGCAAATCAAAACCACAATGAGGTACCACCTCACACCTGTCAGAACGGCTAGACCCAAAAAGACAGGAAATAACAAGTGTTGGCAAAGAGGCGGAGACAGGGGACCCTCATGCACTGCTGGTGGGAATGCAAGCTGGTGCAGCCAGTGTGGAGAACAGTATGGAAGTTCCTCCACAAAACTAAAAACAGAACTGCCGTATGAATCCCACAACTCCACTTCTGGGTATAAACCCCAAACACCTGAAAGCAGGGTCTCAAACAGCTCTGTCCACCCAGGCTCATACCAGCATTAGTCACAAAAGCAAACGTACAGGAGCAACCCAAGTATCCGTGGACGAGCACATGGGTAACAAGATGCGGGGTCTACCACATTCCGTGCGGTGGGGTATCATCCAGCCTTAAGGAGGAAGGAAATCTTCCTTATGCCACAACATGGATGAGCCTTGAGGACATCATGCCAAGTGAGACAGCCAGTTGCAAAAAGACAAATACGACAGGATTCCACCTCTGTGAGGGACTTAGATTCATCACAAAGGCGAAGCAGAACAGTGGGTGCTGGGGGCGCAGGGGATGGGGGCTCAGTGATTACTGGGTACAGAGATTCAGTTTCACACAACAAAGTGAGTTTTGGGGAGGGACGGTGGTGGCAGGTGCACAGCAGTGTGGATGTATTTAATGCCACTGAACTACAGTTAAGAATGGTTAAGATGTGTATTTTGCCACGATAAAAGCTCCTCTGAATGTCTAGGTTGTTACATGGTGATATGGAAGGACACAAACGTGACAATGAACTAAAATCTTCAACACATGCAAGGGTACAAGTCCATCAAATACCAAAGGAAACAGTGAATGATCAGAAGCTTGGACTACGACATCAGAGAGATCTATATTCGTATTTGCATTTTGCCACCAACAACCTCTGTGGCCTCAGGCAAGATCTTCCCTGCCTGAGCTCCATCATCTTCAGCAACATGAAGAGAATGACAACAGACCTCTTGGAGTTGGGAGAATTCACAGAGACAAATCCTACATAGCACAGGGCTTGTCACAGAATAACTACGACTCTCAGTTCTGAGCCTCCTTGAAACTATGTCTTCAACGAATGCAACTGAGTATTATTAGGAAACCTGTCCTCACCTCCTTGTCCCAGCTACACTTCACACTAAGATCCAAACCGAGGAAAGACGTATGCCCTACCCGCAAGGTGCTCACTATCAGCAAAGGAAGCAGAAATTTTTTTAGTAATAAGAGCCTGTAATAAATAATAAAAGTTATTTTCATATACATCACTGTGACCAAGAGCAAGGTTATCCCGAGGAATGAATCATATGAGAGAATATTGGGTTGAATCTTAAAAGGGTAGGTTTTGTCTATTAATGAAGGAAAAATACAAAAAAAAAAGAATCAAAATAAGAGAGTGCTCAGACCGAAGAGAACAGTGTCACCAGATGGAAATCTGAGTAGGGAGCCGCAGGGCATGAAAAGGAGGACACTCGGGGTCTAATGCGAAGGGCTCACACAAACGCCCTGTTCAGTCAGGTATTTGCACTTTGTGCCAATGGGGAAATAAAAACCAGCATCTTAAAGAAGAACAAAGAGACCTATAATCTAGAAAAATACTGATGAGGGGTGAGGCTTATGTTCACTTGGAGGGGTCAGGAACGACCTCCTGGGGGACATGACTTCAAGAGGAGTCTGCCTGGCAGATGAGTCCAGGGGGGTCAGCATCCCAGAGAGTGTGGACCACCGAGGATCCGGGGGCCTGCAGGGGAGCCCGGGGCATCTGGAGCACAGCACACTGGGTGGAAAGTGGCAGGCCCAGGCAGTAATACGCTGGCATGGGAATTTGGGCTCACGAGCAGTAGAGGAAGCTGTCAGTCACGCAGCATTTGATAAGATGGTGTTCTGGAAAAACACCTCTGACACCAGTGATGGGAAGCAACAGAGACCGCAGGTGTGGGCGGCCGGAAGCCCAGTCAGCACCGTGCTGCTACTGCGGACAAGGAACCAGGCGGGCTCAGACCCGGGCCAGAACAGGGAGGTGCAGGCCCACTCCAGACCTAAAGGGAACATTCCATCTCTCTGGGGAGGGAAACTAGTGTATTTTCCTCTCATTACGTCCACATTCCAAATACACTCGGTATCGCCCTCTAGGTCCAGGATAAAAACCTCAGTGCTGGCCTCAGAGGCCCTCCTGTCTGGCCCTCTCTGTCTTCACCTCCTTTTCCAGTCCCTCTGCTCGGACTCTCCTCGGCCTGAATCCCACCCGCCCTCCCAGGCCCAACCAATACAGGCCTTCCATGACTTCCTGACATCCAGTGACCCCTGGACTGCGGCCAGGAGTGTATCCATCAGTACAGACCAGCATGTGGGGCGAGCCCTGGGCCGTCTGCGATGCCTCTCCCATTACTTGATCACACTCATTTACTCTCGAATGGTTGTTTACGCTTTTCTGTGCCTTGTCCATATGTTTCCTTCACAGAACTGCAGAGAAATGTCAAACATGAAAACAGCTAGACAGTAATCCAAGGCAAGAGGAGTGCCCTGAGAATTCAGCACACCTGAGAAAGCTCACTGTGGAGCTGTACGTTACGGTTGCTCAGAATCTGTGACTTCTCCTGCAAGGCTGTTATTATGTAAAATAAAATAACAGTGGTAAATTGTGCCTGCCAATCTGCTACCACAGAAGAAATGTAAGAAAGAATAAATCATTACAAATGGAAATGGGTGTGCAGTTAGTAAGCCTGTGAAGAATTCTTGAGATTGCATTTACAGCATAATATTAACTGCTAGTTTTTCAAAATAACTTATTTCCAAAGAGGTAACAGGCAATGGCCATCCCCTCCTCTTCAGCAAACCCAGTAAGGGAGTGGAATCAATAGAGGGCTCGCCCTGGCAGAACATACACTAAGACCGAACGACACACAGAAGATCAGCACGGTCCCTTGCAAGCAGGACACATAAATTTGGGAAGTGCTCCTTATTTTTGTGTTGTCTGCCAAAAAAGAAAAGAAACTGACACAGAGACAAAGCAAAATGGTAACTTGGCAGTTCTTACGGCTCTCATGGAGTGAACTCTCAACAAGTCACTACAGAGATGGAGTGTGCCTCGTGCAACCTGAGAAGCCAGCCGGGCGCAGACGGCTCAGCCCGTAGCGATAGGTGGTGCTCCAGGAGGACGCAGTCACTGCAAACGTGTCAAAGAGGGCAGAGGGCACAGTTATACCTGGGGTGTGACCCTAGAGTAAGCGATACAGGTCACTGATGCCCTGATCTGAAACATTAACTGGAACGGGAAGTCTTCCAACCCCATGTCAGCCTAATCACGTGAGTCAGGCACCATCACCTCTGGAAACACACAGTCGCAGGTACCCGAGACAGCAAGAAAACAGAAAGGGTCACTGGCTTTGTCCAGCAGGCACAAAAAGTCATCTGACCTCTTGCAATGGTACAAACTAGCCCATAATACTGGCAGAGATGAACATAAAATCCATACTTGCTTCAACAGAATGCATTTACATTATAATGATTACTCAGAATACTTTATGAAACACTAATGCCACCTTATAATTATCCAAGTTAGATGTGAATAGTATGTGAGGGTTTAAGACAAAACAGAAGTGGACACATGTGACTTATTTTATGGAATATTAAAATATAGGTGACCGTAAATGATGCGATTATGAATTATGAATAATATGAGAAATCTTAGGGATTGAAAGTTTAAATTTCATTTGTTACTGATTTTGTTGTCATTTTTTTTTTAAAGATGATTTTTTTTTTTTAAAGATTTTTTATTTATTTATTTGAGAGAGAGAGACTGAGAGAGAGAGCACATGAGAGGGGGGAGGGTCAGAGGGAGAAGCAGACTCCCCGCCAAGCAGGGAGCCCGATGCGGGACTCGAT